TCATCATCCACTTGCGCGAAGTATATAAAAAGCAAAGTGTTTTCAAACGGCGTACGTAGTTTACAAGGTCGCCGAATATAACAAGGAAGTTAAATTTTCCTTCAAGAAACAGCAGTCATCTTGAAAAATTCAGTCTTCCCAGTTTAAAAGTAAGCTAGGCAGGTGTTTGTGAATGTAAGCCGATTCATTATTTAAAAGCGAGCTAGTCACGTTTTCTGAAGGTAAACAAAGCAGTGCAACCAAAGCTTGTTAACGTTATCACAGGAAAAAGCACTTTATCATGTTAGCAGCATTATATCAAAGGTCTGGCCAATGAAAGTTGCGCCAAATCCATGCTTTAATTTTATAATGTTGAGATGGCGTCCCCCGTATAACTGCTAATCATATTGTATGTTGTGTTACTTTGAACGTTTGCAACATGGCTACCATCCAACGAGGTAACAATGTTCCTACTTTGTGATGGTTGAAGAGGTTATTTCTCAGCTGCACCAAATTGGGAAGCGAGGGGTCTGGGACATCAATGGTCTCTTTCGGGAACTATGACAGATCACAACGAAGACTTTCTGACACAGCTAGTCCCAGACCTCCCAAGGTACCGTCTCATTCTTCATAGGGTTTATATGGGAGACAAGAAACGTTTCGGTCAAGACTACACTAAATTTATCCTGCTAGTTGCTGTTATAACGAGATGAGACAGTTAATTCAATTATTATGATAAGAGTACTATAAATTTAGTCTGCAGCAAATAAGATAAGCATGAAAGAAAAGCGTCGCTCTCCGGAGTTATAATCTGACATTGCCAACAGTCGAGGACCGTAACCATATCATTAAAGGGCGAAATGTAAATAAATTCACGATTTATGATCATAAAATGATGAACGGTTGATGTACAAATAAAAGAAAACGACTTATTTGATAAATTTACTGAATTAAGGCCTATGGTTCGTAATTAACGCTTTAGGAGTGAAACGACAACACAGACTCGACAACAATGTCGGCGGAAAATTAAAAATATGCCTAGAATCGAAAAATATTCAGCATTACGGGAGATGCTAAGAAAAGCCAGTCTTCAAAACGTTATCATCAAACTTGCTACTAACAGCCTAAGAGCCAAGCAACTTAAATTTGTCAAGGGAACACACTAACTTTTAGGAGATAAAATGACTCAGAAATAAAAGCTGGTGGAATCTTGGGTGGTGATCATGTACAAATTCCCATCTACCACATCCGCAGAGCGCGGACATTAAAATATCTAAAAATCCATTAGTTTTGCTTAAGAGTATTCCGTCGGAAGCATACAAAATTCAGAAACGGGGAAACAGAACCGGAAGCATATCTATAAAACGTTTTAAAACAGTCTCGTCGCCTCTTCATAACGGTGAATAGAACGACGTGTTTCCTCTTATGGTTTGGTTTAGCTGATAACCTCTCCTTGACGTCACAATATCGTAAACACAAACAAGAAAACAACTACGAAGCTTTTTTGGCCTAGTTTCCTCGTGTCACTGTTTATTCAACGCGTGGTTTATCTTAATCCATCCTGTAACATTTTTCTTGAGTGTTTATGTAGAGTATTGCTAAGTAGGCGTTCTAAGTGTCGATGAGAAAATGTCTTAAACAGTTATGATATAAAAATTTTTAGAATTCAGTGGCTCTTTGGAAAGTGCTAGACAAAGGAGTTGCTTCAGTCCTTTATTAAGGACAATACTCTGAAAGAACGAAAACATGATGTAATTATTGATAAGGAGAAGTGATTCTTCCAAAGTGGGACTAAATATTGTCTATAAAAAGTTGCAAGAATTCACTAATCAATAACACCTTGAAGCACGTTCTGTCCCGCTAATGCGCGAGGCGGCCCTTAGACATATTTTCACGTAACCCTCAAGTCTTACCACTAACTAAAGGAAAACGGAAAATGGGCGACACACTAAATTTTACCCTAAACGACGCCGAAAGCGATCACCAAATAACAATCGGCAAGTAGTAACTATAGTCTAGGGAAACTACAAAACCAACAAGAAATCTAAATCTATTCTCCGAAAGCTAACGGTGACCTCTCGTCAATCAAGAGAGGGGGAGGCCTGTATTCGAAACAACTAGAAAAAAAAACAAGCTGCAAACAAAGTCTATTTAGTTCAGGGTCATACTTTTAAGGCTGTTATAGTGAAAATTCTTAATCGAATAAAGATAATTTTTTTCCCAACTCTAGCTTTTTTTAATCTAATAAACATTTTGTGTAAAGCAGATTTAACCTTTGTACCTTGCCTGTGGGAAGGGGTCGGGGTGGGGTGGGGGAAGGGGTGTGGAAGAGAGCGGTCTCTGGGGATGCGAGCCTCGTGTAACATACTCCGTACATTCCTACTTCTCGTTTTCTTCCCTTTGAGCTCTTCGTCGAACCGATTTAAAACCCAATGCTGTTTAATTATTGCAGAAGGCCTCGAATGCTAACAGACTGCCTTAGATCTTAATAATTTAAATTATGATTGGCGGTACATTTTGCACTCATTTGGTGTAGTTTCGTATCGGTTGTACAAAGTGCAACTAGTCAGTTTATACAGCTATGTTTGAAACCAGTATGACTCTGAATCGAAATAAAACGAATTGAGCTGTACTTTGATAATGTGGCATTATCTATTACGCCGCTGTATAAGGGATGATTGTAGCTTTTAGTCTGGTTGAAAACCTTGAGTGCGATCATTCAACTAAAAGCCATTGAGCAGTACTTTCATGTATAGATTATGCTGCACAATGATTTGGTTCTAGCTTTTAAGTCTGATCGAGGATCAAGCTCTTGTATAAAACCACTGAAGTAAAAGTTGTCATTGTACTTTGGAGTAATGTGCTTGCTTTGCCAAGCAAATGAAACTAGATTGTCTTCCAATTTTGAACTTGAACCTTTGATTAAAAAAAATAATAATAATAATAAAATAAAATAAAATAATAATAATAATGCAGTAAAATCAGTTTGGGAATAATCCAACTTACTTTTGACTTTGACCCTGTCTAACCTGCAGGGGAACCTTACAATATTTCTTTGATTTTGTTTTTAAAACTTGCCAGACGAAATAACCAAAAACTACACAGGACACTGTCTGACCACAGTAGCTTCTAGACTTGCCACACTTCCCTTGTTTATTTGTTTCTACGGCACACGTTATTGTTGTCCTTCACTTTATTTTGAAATTGTCTTGCTATTTCAATCATTGCACCGCCACAACGGCGACTTTCTGATTAACAAGAGTGATCCCAAAAGATTTACTCAGAGATGCATAAAGCTTCGCCGGCTTGGTCCACCATGAGCAAGCAACTCTCAAGTTCGAGATCATTTCACTGGGTATAGGATAGCCGACAAAATCGTCAAGTGGCTTTGGAAATCGTCTTCAGTATAAAATGAAAGTCTCACAACTAAAAGAGATATAAAGTAATCGTTAAGGAGAATTACCATTTTAACCTCGATGACAAGGCCGTCGTGCCAGCATATAAGCCAATTATTCGCTCGTGGAAAATATTATTTACCTGTCTCAAAACCAGACAGGCACGCTTAAAAGGTGACTAGCTAAGCTCCATGTAAACATTCCTCGTGCTTTTAGCCCGCATATGCGCGACAATGCGCCCCTGTTTGTCTTAATTATAAAACTCTTTTCTTTCAACAAGAATGTTACGAATGAATAGTTTATATTTGACAATCTGGTAACCTAACAGCAAAGGCACCAGATAACATAAATGAAAACCATAGAAAAAATCCCTTACGTACGTGGGTCAGTAAGGACAGTAAATTTGTCGGTTAACTAAAAAGGACAATGTGAAAGAATATCTGTTTCATAAATATGTCCTTCATTTCCTTCAAGGACCCTTCAAGCTATAAATCAGCGAGTGGTTTTAACTTTAATCAGAATTATAACAGGATGACAGATACACAAATTGTCCATATGTTAGTAACCACAAGCTGTTTCACAACGTATAATGCCGTGAAAAACAGCCTGATAACAATTTTAATGTGTCCGGGTAAAAAGGCACTATAGAAAATTAAAATTTCCGTTTTCTTAACACTAAAGCTTAACTGTAGAGATATTCGTAATTTTTTTTGTGTGTTTTTCAGTTTGATTTCCTTTTGGAAATGTCTTTGAGAATACTATCACGTGCAGGAATCTTCCCATAGATTCTATTTTTGTCTGTGAAAATGGCGGCTGATTCAATCATATTATGCCTTGATAATGAGCGAGTTTATTTGAGCATTGGACAATTTTCTCTATCGCCACTTGGCCCCCTTGTGTTATTTTGCGGTTATGTTTTTCTCTTGCGAGGAATGTGATGTTTAAATCACCCAGTTTTGCTGCTGTTTTGCAGGAAGTCCTTTCATCCTAAACCAAGATAAAATCCATTTTTGAAGAGATTTCGCATTGCCAAATTTTCAAAGTTCCACGCTCAGTTTCTCTGTCATGTAAGCAATGGCTAAGGCCGGAAAGATTATTTGCTTTGTTCACGAGCTCCTAAGAAGCTGCATTTTCACTGGAGCAAAGACCCCCTAGATGCGAGATCTACAGCTGTAAAAGGAAATTTTTAATTAGTTAAGCACTAGTGCAGGAATAGATCTATAGATGGTATGCAGAGATATCTTATAGCCGCGAAATTTTTAGAAATATGTCAATAGATTCGTCAAGAAAACCTTCAAGGAGGAATTTTATAAACGGCTGATATAACGATAATAGCTGACTAAGGCTTTAAATGCGACAGTGGGATGGGGCGAGGATCGCACAGAGGCACGGAAGAAAAAGAATCGTCGTTCGTAAATGTACGTTGAGTTTGCGTCGGTAATAAGCACGTGTAACATAAGACAAAGGTTCCTGTCTTAAAATAGTATAAGAGCCGAAATGATGTCTGCCAACTCAAACAGGAAAGCATGTTAGAGGTCAAGTTCCCACAAATTCGATTCGTCGACAGGCCATCAGTTGTACTGTGCCTGAAAGGTGTATAAATAGCGTCTCGCAAAAGACAAACACATCAGATAGACATCTGCCCTTAAAGCGATCACAGCTAAATCGAGACTGCCTGATTACTTTGGCTCGTTGTGAAACACATTGATCAGTACGCTCCTTCTTGTTTCGCTGCTTGCCCTTCAACTGGCTAAAAAAACATGAAAGCAGAGAAACCTGGAAACTGGCACGACATTGCCTTTCGCTTATCAGGTATAGTATGACTTGAAATACATATTCATTCACTCGGTATCAGTGGCGGTGTTTATCGTCTTTGTACAATTTCCAATCGATGGTTTCGTTTCTGTTAGAGTTGTAAAGTGCTTAACAAGAATACCGTCCGAGGACCGTTACTAAATGCGAGATAAACTACAACCAGCAAAAAGACCATAATTTCCGTTTGAGAGCAAAAGCAGCTCAGACAAGACTTCCCAGTTACCATTGTTAAACCCTTCGTTAGGCTCTCTACAAAGAGAGGAGACCAAAGCTTCAATTAGGCTACAACAGTTGAGGCAAAGATTAAGCCAGATTACAAGACGTTACCATAATCGTCAACTTTTGTTTTAGTAAATGAAAATTCGGCGTATGGTTTAGATGTCTTCTGGTATTGCAAGTTATGTCATCAAAAGATTTTCGACGGTCGAAGTTTTTAAATTTCTCTTTAATTGTCCTGTAAAGCTAAAGCTCACTGTATTATGTTCTGTTCATGTATGATACAGCTCTTTGCGGAGGATTTGAGAAATACGACATCCTGGAAGACATGGGATTTAGCGCCCGGAATCGAAGGAAACTTTCCCAAGGAACAGAGCAAAGACCACATCTAGAAAACTTGATACGAAGAGGTTCTCTTACGGAGACACAAGCGGAAGAAACTCTAATTTCAACGGCATCTGACTCTGAACTTCGACAGTCAACGAATAATCCAACCCACGGTTACAAAAGATCATTAAGTGGTGGTTTAATAACTATCAAGAAAGACTCTGCGAAGACGAAGATGATCAGAGCGCCCAAATCGCATTCACTCGAGTTAGATGTATCATCGTTTGACTTCAGCGAACTACGAAGTTCAAGTTTATGTTCCACAGAGTTGTGACAATGTGTAGAACGCAGCTGATCTTTTAAGACAGCTAAGTTGATCATGGACAAAAGCGAACAAAGTTTTACCTATTTATGCTAGTCTGTAAAGTGTTTGTAAATATTATAGAATCCGCGCAAAATCACTGCGCGGAGCCGAGTTGTATAAATTCGAAGTTATGAATCATTTTAAGGATCTAATGGTGGTTTATCTTTGAGATGCCTTAACTCAAAGCCGAAAGAACATAGAATTCATTCTAACTTATATCGAGTATAACGTATATCGTCCGTAGTTAAAATTTCAAGTATTAAAAGTGTTCAAACGTATTGATTGCAAACCCTTTCGTTGAGTTTGTCATTATATAGTAAGTGGGCAGAGATGACATTATGACTTTAATCGTATACTGATCGTAGAAGTTTTGGAATCGGGCCTTCAATATTTTAAATATAGAACCATTTTTGAACGAGTTGTAAAAGTGGGCGTTTTTAAGATCGAGATGCAAGATATTGGTTTCTCTGTTTATATAGTTAGACGTGTTTTCGCAAGAGAGGGTATTCATTACCAAAATATCCTGACCTTTCTACGCGTAAAGAAAACAAAATAGGTTCTTACAAGTGAGGCAAAACTAGTTATTTATCGCTCGCACGCAGCAGACAACTCCTATAAACTCACGAAGAAATTAAATCATTCTTTCATAACTAGCCAACGCACTTTTGTCGGAATCTCTAAGCGTCTCAACTATTTCCTGCTTAAGAACGTGTGAGCACGAGACAGTGACCTCTTAAATTACTGTAGTTCCTCAGGAATTTGCAAAAACTAAAGAGATAAGGGAAAAATAATTGCCCTGTTAATATCCGATGATCTCATCATTTCGCGGAAAAATTGTTCGAGAATTTTCGTCTGTGAAATCAAAATTGTCCGGTATGTGTTATTATGATTGAAACTGACCTAACACAAATGTGAGGAAAAAAAAATTAAAAAATAAAAAAAAATAAAATAAAAAAACGCTGTCCTTCAAAAGAACCTTGTCTGGTCGGTCTTAAATGCTGTATGAAATACTGAACTTTGATTGAGCGGTTAAAGGATTTTTTTGTAATTGTCTACTTTTATTTTTAAACGGCCCTGATTTATAGTTTCACAAATTGTTGGAACACTTGGCACTTGAAAATGCCTATGTAAAGTTCCNTTTTTTTTTTTTTTTTTTTTTTTTTTTTTTTTTCCAGAAGGAAGACGTTTTTCAAAAATACGATTCATCACCCACATTTTCAAGTTCGTTAAACAAACGTTAGGGAGGTGAGTCCTCGAACGTTGTACGTAATGGAATTGTTAATTCCCTACACAAATGTATCTTTTGGTTTTAGTCTTGTAATCAATGCCTGAGTTCTGTTTATTTTTTTTACAAGAACGCTTGCATTTGAAAGAATCAGTCAATGTTTGGAAGTTTCAAAAATATGCTTTGTGCCAGGTGACTTTCAAGACTGTTTAATCAGCTTCATCTGAAGGAACCGGAACCAATGCTACAATCCTTTTGAGACTGTTTGCCCAATTTCCCTTTGCATTTGGCGTAATTTTTAAACAGAGATGACCGACCTTTTCTTCATTGTTTGAACACGGACCTTTGTTTTCAACATCTGACGGAAATGCTTCGCCTCGTGTTCATGAATATATGACAACCGTGTTACTGTTTAGAAAAGTCAGTTATCTTGGGTTTGCATAGTCAGGTATTTTTTGTCGTTTCCTGCATTAAAAGCTTTGATGTATGTCATAGGAAAGAATACTCAAACAGCAAACAATCTTTGACGGTGAAATACTTTGTGAATAGTTTTTTTTTTTTATTAAATGTGATGGACTTTTCATCTGTGTTTGCTGAATCGATGTTTGCGCAATTTAAAACAAGGCCATGCAATTACACTTATTAGCCGTTAACAACTCAGTGCTTTTTCTCCGAGAATTGCTAAGAGATACCCCAAAAGATGAGATCTTTGACTACAAGAGCCCCTTTCATGTAAATTGCCGAGTGGAAGAATGCTGTCCTCAATGATCAGGAATTCTTGTGGATTGAAGTCGATTCAACTTAGGCCCTGTCCACACTACGTCGAAGGAATTTGAAAACAGAGGCTTCACTCTGAAAACGCATCAAATGTTTTCCGTCCACGCTTCACCGGAGAAATTTGAAAACAAAGGTTTCACTCTGAAAACGCATCAAATGTTTTCCGTCCTCACTACGCCGGAGAAATTTGAAAACAAAGGTTTCACTCTGAAAACGCATCAAATGTTTTCCGTCCACACCACGCCGGAGGAATTTAAAAACGCAACAATCACCGGTCATTTTG